TCTTTCAATTAAAAATTTCAATTAAGTGTTGGAGAAATCAAGTAATTTCTTTTTGTTTGCTTGTTTTTTGGCTAGGCAATGGAGTTAAGTGACGCAGGGTCAAACAGCTAGTAACTGTCAAGTGTCTGAGGCCAATTTGAACTCAGGTCCTCCTAACACCAGGGCTAGTGCTCTATCGACTGTGCCACTTAGCTGCCCCCAAGTCACTTCTAGATCACAGTTTACCCATCTGTAAAACAAGAGAGTTGTACTAAACGATATATCTCTACAATCCCAGTAAAGTTTTTTTTCAGGTACTCAAATGAAATATTATTAATTGCCAGGTGTTTAATAGTTAATCCATTGATAATTATTTAGAAATGTCAGTTTGTTCTTCTAAATCTCTTAGGAATAATTTTAACATTAGTCATTTTTAAATGTGTTTTAGGAATAATTTCAGAATTAGCCATTTCTAAATGTTAAAATTAGCCACTTTAAATTGGAAGTTAGGACTTTAGCCACAACACATTGTAAACCATATAGTACAAATGGCTGGAAGATTATTTTTGCTTTATATAACTGTTTATATGGTTTTGTTAAAGAATCAAGAAAATAAAAGCTTCTTGGCACAAATAGTCCTTACATTCTCCAGGTAACCTATACCAGCCCAGCTCTTTGGCTTCTATTATGTGCGTCTTTAAACATCTCCATTCCTTCAACTTGCCATTTTGTTCTTGATTGGAGGGAAAAAAAAATCTGATGTATGAACTCTTGCATATCAACAATGTACAAAGAACTTACAGAATATAGTTAATGAGGCCTGTTTTTTAAGGTGGTATTATGTTCCCCCTCCTACCACTGACTTATAAAAATACAATATCCATTAACAATTTCAATTTTATCAGTAGCTATTTGCAAAGCTTCTCTTTATGTAAGGCAAACCTTTTACTGGAGATCTATCATAAAAGCTCATGACAAATCTATGAGCATAATTAATCATTAGACAAGTGATAGCCTGGGAGTTTCTTCTTGTAAAAGATCACTGGCTATAAATTTCCATGGTACCACCTGACTGGCTCTGAATTCAAAAGCAACCACCCTGAACTGCAGCTTCCTCTTAAGCAAAAGAAAGAAACAAATGAACAAACAAACAAAACCAACAACAAAAAAACCCCTCTGATTTTCTTTCACTGCACATATTCCATCTCTGCCAACACCTTTATGACATATAATAACATTTTTCACAGACCACACCTTTTCACTGCAATACTACAGAATACAAACTGGAAGTCAGTTTATTACAGGCTAGGTTTTATTTGAACAATGTTAAAAGTACAGAGATGGCAAAGGAAACCAGGATGGGGGATGTGCTACTTCAGCTTCCAACAAATGGATAAACTAAATGTCTGCACTAACCAATGAGACAGCGCAATGTGGCAGTAGCTTAGGAGCCTAGATACACTTAGGCCTGTCAAAGCAGTGCTGCGAATCATATGACTAAAAAAGTCACTGTGAGAGTGGACATCAATCATTTAAATTTAATATCCACACAATTTATGTTTCCTAGACCTTAGAATGTTTCTCCTTTAATTAAAAACAACAACAACAACAAACAAAACAAAACACAATTTCTGAATGATGAGATGTTCCTGAAACTGGGTACCCAGATGCAGCCATTTTTTTTCATCTTGCATATATCAATAAGAGGGTTAATTAGCCAGGGGAGACTGCCTGAAACAAAAGATGAAAACATAGCAATTCTAAAGCAAGAAGAAAAAAGAAGTCAAAATGAGAAAGGAATCCAAATCAAAGATATTGAGTTGTTACTGTATCCAGTGCACTGCCCCCCACTTTCACCCACAAGGCTGCTACAGAAATAATTCCAAAGTCAGAGGAAATTGAGGGGAAACCACTTCCGGTCTGTGTGAAAGAAGCTGCTTGCTTGGTCATGACAGCGCTTTTCCCCTCCCTCCCTCCCCTCCCCCCTCCCCCCCCCCAGAAAGAAAGAAAGAAAGAAGCCTTTAAGGCCATAGGAAACTATAGGCCCATTAGTTATTTCGTCAGTTGCTAAGCAACAGGCTTTGCTGTAGGGTGAAAGCATAAAATTAGCACTTTTTGAGGAAAAAAAAATAAAGACAAATTGAATGTAAAATTAGGGAATGCCACCTGAAAGGCTTCAGAAGGGAGAACAAAGTATTAAGTGGGCATCTTTAAAAGGATGCTTTTAGTGAGCAACAGAAATGCTTGATGTGGTTGGGGGTTTTGTTTAGCCATGAATGCCAATGAAATTCTAAAGTACACCTAACAAATAAATATAGTAATGTTTATTTAAACAATAATGATTTATAATCACCTTATGCTAATTACTTATTAGTTCCCCTCAACACCTCAAAACATAGATTTCGGGTAGTTAGAAGGGACCTCAGACAGCCATGATAAGTACAGCCCGGACCTAAAATAAGGATTCCCTTCCCAACATACACAAGTGGCCACACTGAACTTTGCTTGAAGACCTCCAGTGGGGAGGAAGAAGCTACCCCCTGAGGTAGTCCTTTCTACTTCGAGAGTCCTCTGCTAGGAAAACAAATTCCTTACATCAAATTTGTTTCTGAACAATCTATGCTCATTTCTCGAAGCTCTGTCTTCTGGGGTCAGGTAGAACAAACCTATTCCCTTTTCTACATCATGGCCCTCCTACCTCTACTTCATGCCAAATATGATAACCTCTCCCAAGTTTCCTCTTCTCTAGGCTAAAAATTCCTTTTTCCTTAAATAGATCCTCAACAGACATGACCTGTAGGCCCTTCACCCTTCCTTGTATCATCTTCTGGGTACTCTCCACAGCTCATTAGTGTCCATCCTGAAATGTGGAGCTGAGAAATAAAAACAATACTTCAGATACGGTCATACCAGGGCTGAGCAGAGCAGGACCCTGATCAGTCACCTCCCTTGCTAGGACACTATGCCTTCTACAATACTTCCCTCCCATGACTGTTGGGAGGATCAAATGAGATAATATAATGAAGCATTTAACACAGTGCTTTATATTCAGCTAGCAGTCCACTCAATCTCCCACATCGTCTTCATATAAACTACTAGCTACATATCCCCAATCTTGTACCCATGAAGCTATTTTTCTTTTGTCCTTTGGTGTAAGACCTTATATTGATCCCTATTAAACTGGATTCAATTAGGTATGGCTTGGCCTTCTGGCTTATGGAGTTCTTTTTGGATCCTGACTTTCTCATCCCTGTGTGTATTAGGTATTCAGCCCAGCTGTGTCATCCACACAGTTGATAAGCATGCCATCTATGCCTTTATGTGAGTAATTGTTAAGAATGTTCAATGGCCCAGGATAAAGCACAAATCAATCCCGGGGGCATTCCACTGGCAACCTTTCCAAATTGACATTGACCAACTAATGGCTCTTTTTCAGTTATGGCCCTTAATTCTATACTGCCTCTCACGTGGCTAGCCTACCTCTTTTCATCTTTTCCCACAACAGTAGCTTGAGAAGCTTTTTCAAATGCTAAGAAAATGAAATCCCCAGAATTCTCTTGGTTTAGTAGTCTAGCGATTCTGGTAAAAATGGAAATGTGTTTAGTCTGGCGTGTCCTCTTCCTATTTTAAAAATTTCATTCTGAACTTCAACACCAAATAAAATGGGCATTTCCATATACATGGTGGAACAGGAAAATAGGATTGTATATGTAAGTGTGAATCTTTATTATGTATACCTGGCTTTTCTTTTTTTAAAATATATCATAACCTCAATATGTAACTTTCAAAGCTGCCCTGAGTATCAGTGAATGTTTCTGGCCTTCCTTCTGCTCCTTTCTATGAATTTTAAAATGCTTCAATGACTTTCCTTTCTTTCTTTCCTTTTTTGGGGGAGTTATTATTCTATTGCTAGACCTGCTCCCCTTCCCACCTCAACTCCACTGGAATAAAAAAAAAAAAGAAAAAAGGAACCTTTTTAAAAAAAATTTAAACAAATATGCATAGTCAAGCCAAACAAATTTCCACATTGGTTTTGTGGCATGGCCTATTCTTGATAAAAATGACCTGAAATGTCATACCTGCTCTGTGCATTCACCAGTTCCTTTCTTAGGTGTTCACTTATCTTCCCTTTAATAATACATTCTGAAATTTTGCTGGGAATTGATATCAGGGCACACTGTTAGTATTATTGAGAATCAGTTACAAGATCCCTTTTCTTTTATGATATACTGGTCTTAAACTCCAGTATCTAGTTACTTTGTTGGTGTGGTTTTTTTTTTTTTGCATATATAGGTACATGTGACATAAAAGTATTAAAGCACAGTTGCATAATTCTGCCTTCTGTACCAAATTCATTTTCTAACTTCATTCACTGATTCCTGAAAATTCTGTCTTAATGCTAGTATTCTGGAATGCTCCTTTCTTTTCATAAAGAGTTTACAGAATCTACTCAGAAAGGAAATTAAAATGCTCCAGAGAGAATTAAGAGAGAGTAGGGGCCATTTTATTAAGAGGACAGGCAAACATAGGAAAGAAAAATTACTGTAGAGGTCCAGCTGATGTAGGGGAGAAGGAGGAAGTGAAGCACATTATTGCATTAGCCTGAGGATTTAGGGGAAGTCTCTCCTCTCCTTTTATAGTCATGCCTATATCCCTTCCTTTAATTGCAGTAGGACATGAGTGGAATATAAATTGTTTAGGGAGAAAGTAATGTTCCGACCTGAAAGTTGTTAAGATTATGGAAACACTGGCATCTCTGAATATTCTTCAATTGAAACATGTCATTTCCTCTCTGTATTAAATAACCAGCCCCTGAAGAAGAATATTAAAGAAATCTCCCTTCCCAAAGTCTTAAATTTATCCCATAGGGCGAGGGAAGGGGAAGGACCATTCATTTATCAAGTGTCTGCCACGTGCCAGGCACCATGCTAAATACTTCACAAACAGTATCTCATTTGATCCTCACAATAATCTTTTTTCTCCCACATGGCTGCTGTCCTGGACTTTACGACTACCAAAAGCTCAACATTCTTCAAGATGCATCAGCTCTGAAATCCACACCTCCTTAACCTCCTTTCCCTCTGACTGAAAAAGATGGGAGTACGATGGTGGCCATCTGAGAGCTCCTTCCAGATCCCCAGGGCTTAGCACAATGCCCAGCACATAGCAGGTCTTTAATAAATGTTTAACAACTCTTGACAACAACCATGGGTGGTAGGTACTATTATTAACCCCATTTTATAGCTGAGGAAACTGAGGCAGACAAAGGTTAAGTGACTTGCCCAGGAAGTATCTGAGACTGGATGTGAACTCGGGTATTCCTGAATTTTCAATTTGACTTCAGGCTCAGTGTCCCATCCACTAAGCCACCAAGTTACCATAGGAAATAGAACTCGATAAAGCAGCTTTTCTGAGTTAACAGATTACCTTTATTTAAAGGAATTCACAAATAAAAGACCAAATGAAAGATTCAAATACTGTCTTAATTATCCTTATATTTAAGACTTATTATACAATATCATGTTCTCTATTTCATTGTGATAGCTCAATAGCTACCTATTGTTAGGTGGTAATAATAATAATAATTTATCCCATTTATATAGGATATATATCCATCATATATATATATTTCCTATATAAATAATATTTTATAAATTTATATAAATTACACACTTAATATTACATTTATATGTTATAGGCTATATCCCATTTGTATATACATTTCACAGTTTAGAGAGTGATTTTTCTCATTCAACAAGGATTTATTAAGCATTCAATGTATGCTAGGCTCTAGAGATACAAAGGCAGTAAGGAAATAGTCTCTGTTCTCAAGGACCTTAAATGGCGAATCCTGCAAGTCTTCCTCTTCGTGGATGATATTGTGCTAATTGCATCAAGCCCAGGGACATTACAGGGCCTCCTTAAGGAGATTTCTGTTGATCAAAAGAGTTGGCTGGACCACAGTGGACAAGCAGTCCAAGACAACTGCCCAGGAATTCCTTCTATAACATCACTGACCAGTGATCATTAAGTCTCCACCTGAAAACCTCCAGGGAGAGGAAACCCATCATTTCTCAAGGCAGTCCATCCCAACTATGGACTGCTCTTATTCTCAGAAAGTATTTCCTTGTATCAAATTAAAGTTGTCTCCTCACAATTTTTATTCTTTGGGGCCAAGCAGTACAAGTTTAGTCTCTTCTACAAGACAGTCCTTAAGATACTTGAAGACAGCTATTATGCCCTCCCAACCTTTTCTCTTCTTCAAAATTAGTCTTTAGTTCCTTCATTGACTTGGTCTCTCATTCCCCTACCCTTCTTTAGAAATGCTCTGCTGCAAACTGAACACCACACTCTAGATGTAGTCTTACCAGGGTAGAATATACTGGTACTGTCACCTTCCTTATTTTGGCCATTATGTTGCTCTTAATGTAGCTTATTTGACTGCCATGTCATACTGACTCGTTCTGAATTTTCAGTCCATTAAAACCCCTAGATCTCACATGTCAAACATCTCCACTCCCTATTTCTGAAGCTGATCTCTTGAACCCAAATAGGACTTTACACTTATCTCTAATAATTTCTCCTTATTAGATACGGCACATTATTCTAGCCTACTGATATTGTTTTTTGGATTTTCACTCTCTATCATCTAAGGTGTTTGCTATCTCTCCTAGGTTTGTGCCAACTGTGAATTTGACAAGCACGTCATATACATGCCTTTATCTAAATCACTGACAAAAATATTGAAAAGCACAGAGCCAAGGCAACCTCCTGGGGGCATATTATACTAGAGGTATAAAGGCTCCATCAGTGACATCATTTGGGTACGGGCATTCAGTAAGTTCCAAAATGATAACATGAAACACTTTACAGATTTTTTTTTTTGCTACAACCTATAGCATTTCCCTAGTTTACCCATGTAATTGTTTACTATGACTAAGAGTTAGTCTGGCATGAATTGTCTTTTGTAAAATTAAAATTTTAATCTATTTATACATTTTGTTTTGCCAGGATTGATACTTCCCAACCATAATAATCCTGTCATCCAACCCCGACACCCAACCTGAAAAAAGTTAAGCAGCACTATCTAATAGTGGGACTGTGCCTGACAGTCTTGCAATTACTGACTGTTAACAGAAAGGAAGCACCGTATTTTATCTTTGATAGTATAGAGCCAAAGTTGCCTATTGTACTTGACCTGAATTTTGTCCTATGACCTGTGCTTGATGAGATTATACTACTTCTCTGTGACTGCTGCTTCCCTTTCTAAGTGCTTACAAACAATCCTTCTAATATCCAAGAACTTTGCTCAAAATTGAAGTCAGGCTTAGTGTTCTTTACTATCCACAGTATTGTCCTTTCTGTCTATGTGTTCTGTGCGCCCCCCCCCCCCATATTGCCACTCTCTCAATCATTTGCTCTTCTCTGGCCTAGTAATTCCTCTCTTGTTCTCAAGGTTCTATCTTTCAAAGATTACAAACAGTGACTCAGCAACACTCTTGGTATTCTTATCCTATGGATCTGAAATAGCATGGTTTCCTCTCACATGCTATTATTTGATCTCTGGGGGTCTGATACTAGTTAATTATTAAATTTATCTTCCATGGTTCTAGTTAAATTGAATATGGTAAGCCAAGTGACCCAGCACTATGGAACCTATGTTCTAAATAAGAGACAAATTGATAGTATATTGAAATTGAACATTTTCCTACAATTATCTTTTTTCCTCCTTTCCTCCTCTGTGTGGCATTCTTTTACTTTCCAACTACCTGACAAGGATCAATTTTCCTCTAGATCATTAAGATTCTTTTTCACCCACTAAAGCCCAGTCTCCAGCTATTGTGGTATTTAAGAATGATTAAATGTCCTTGATAATATGGAGTGTGGAGAGAGACTCCTCAAGTCCCTTTATCTTCTCTTTTGGGAGTCAGACCAAGATGAATGAATGAATGAATGAATGAATGAATGAATGAATGAATGAATGAATGAATGAATGGAAAAGGTATTTATTAAGCACTTATTAAGTGCAAAAAGCAGTGTGCTAAGTAAGCACTGGAAATACAAATAAAAAAGACAGTCTCTGTTCTCCAGGAGTTCACATTCTAATGAGGGAGACCCACCATATGGAAGGTTTGGAACATAGTCATTTGGCTATGACAGAAATACAAACATTATACATTCAATGCATGTCAACACAAAATTGCTCTCACTAATTTATAAATATGCTGGGTCCCTTCAGTGGAATATAAACTCTTTGAGGGCAGAGATGGTCTCACTTTTATATTTGTGCTTCAGCACACGACTGATTCTATTTATACTCTGGAGATAACAATTAATAAAGAAATAAAATCCTTTTTTGGAGGGGATTTGTTCTGTGAAGTTTGGATTCAGTCAAAGGGCTATACCTGAGAACCCAGAGGGCCACATGTGGTCTTGAGACCGCAGGCTCCCCACCTCAGTTTGGAGTGAAGAAAAATATGTTCAGGTTGGAATATTCAATTCAAGGTGGATTCAAAGGAAGGACAAAAAGAAGTTTAGAGTATTTGGAGGGGTGGAACTAGAATATTTATTCATTTAACAAATATCATCAATTGCCTCATGGTATGGACTAGAGGTACAACCTGGCCTAAATCTAACCCTAAGGTATAGACCTATGAACATACAGGGAATCATAAGAAGCACTCAAAACAATAATACATCAGGAGAATACCTGTATGATGAACAACTAACTACTCTTTCTCAGTAGCATGGCTGAGTAGATATCAAGCATTGGACCTGGAATTAGGAAGACCCGGGTTCATATTCTGCCTCTTAAATTTATTAGCTATGTAACTATAGCCAAGTCACTTAGCTTCTCTGATGGTAAGCCCCAGCCAACTCTCAAAGCCTTATTTACAGTATTATAGACAAGACGTAATCTATCTGCTATAGATGAAGAGAGATCCCGTAACTGGGAAATTATAGATGCTTCATTTGCTGTCGTATCATTTTTTTTCTTAGTCCAAGTGCTTCCTCCTTCAAGAGATTTTTCTGATTCACTTAGTTTTTAGTGTCCCTCCCATTCACTCTGTGTGTGTGTACACTGCCCTGGAGGGCCTCCTAATCTAATTTATCTCATGACTAGCCCAAAACAGATAAATGATTGTTGACTGACTTTTCACGAACACTTCAGAGCATGCAACCCTAGATTATATAATTTTTGAAAAGTTATTTTCCACTAAAATTTTAAAATCTATTATAGATAATATTTCTCAAAGTAATTTGCAAAGACATTAATAGATTAAAAAAAATAAGCTCCCAATGGAATACTGTTTAAAGAACAAGGCACAGATAAAAGAATGAAAATTAAATAAAATTGTCACTATTCAGTAACAGACTTCTTCCATTAAGAATTTTTTTCATTCATCTTGGAAGTCAACAAAGTACACATCCACTTCCAGTAAACCACAAGGCTTTCTGATCTTCAACATATTCTCATCTTGTTCCTTCCTGATACAATTATACTTTAGTATGCTTTGTTTTACTCAGACTTCCAGAATGTGCGCTCTCAAATTAACTTACATTAAAATGATACTCAGATTTCTGTGGTTTATTTGGAAGCTGGATACTAATGCTTCTAGACTTAAAGAATGATGACTTTTCTAGCACTGTGGTTTGAACTTACTGATGATATCCCAATAACATGTCTGTTACTTACTATGAAGATTACAGCAAAGACATCAGCAATTTCCCCATGCCTTTGGTTTACTATGGGCTTTCCAAGTAACAACATGGTTCCATTTAAAGCATCAAAAGGTGACATTTTTAGTCCAAGTGCCAACAGGAAGCCTGAGAAATGCCTGTGGGTACCATTTGACACTACTAGAAGGCATGAGTGCAGACTTTTTTTTTTAAGAGATGAAATGGAAAAAATAAAAAGCAGACAAGGAAGGGATAAAGGAGAAGAAAGAAGAAAATGTTAAGAAAAGTTAAAGAAAAATACATAAGGTAATGCATAATAGTGTGCTATCAACAAATGCCTCAGTATTACTTAACTGCAACATCACAGGTTGCCTGTCCTAGGAATGATGTACGATAGGTACATAAGCAGATATGGCTACTCTGAACAATTTGCACGCTGCTATTATTGGGAGAGACTGCTGGTGGTGACTAACACAGTTTTGCTAGCTCTTCAGTGACCAGGCAATAGGGAA